GGTAAAACATCAATTGAATGTCTCACAGATTGAAGGGAATCCTCCGATCCATGAAAGAGTCTATTTTTTTCTGGTTGTTTTTTTTTTAAAAAAATAACTTTTTTTTGAAGTAAATTTTTATTGAATTATCATAAACTACAACGAAAGAGGGTGAATAATGTGTAGAAGATAGAAAAGTGGGAAAGTTATAAATACAAATCACAACAACAACAGAGAAAAGGAAGAGAAAAAAATTCAAAAAAGTAAAAAATAAAGAAAAAAGGAAAAAAATAAAATAAAAAAACTATAAAAATAGAAAAAAGAAGAAAAAATAAAAAAAATCCACAAAAATTGGACCTCCTTCTGGCTCTGCCCGTACGTTGTCTTTTTGTCAAACCTTTTTATGTATTCCTCCTTGTGAAGTTTTATTACCTCTTATATTTAATTACAAGTCCTTGGGTCTATTTTCAATGTACTCCTCAATTATTGACCAATCTGTCTGTTTTATTGGATTGCCTGTATTCTTTTTTAATAAAAAAGTTAATGTGTCCATGTCCTTAATTGCATTTATTTTCTTTACCCACTGGAATTTCGCCGGTACTTCTTTCTGCTTCCATAGTTGCGCAAAAACGATTCTGGCAGCTGTCGTCAAGTAGATAAATAAGATATCTTCATTTGTATCTAAACATATTTCTCAGTCTGTGATTCCCAGTAAATAGTATTCAGCTTTTCTCGGGAATTTTTTGTTGAATATTATCTGCATTTCTTCATGTATCCTTTTCCAATATTTTTGAGATTTTTCACAGCTCCACCATAGATGAAAAAAACTTCCATCATGTTCGTTGCATTTCCAGCAAATTTTTGATACTTCTTTGTACATGTGGTTTAATTTCACTGGTGTCATATACCATCTGTGGAACATTTTCATCCAATTTTCTTTTAAATCAGTAGCATAAGTATACTTTAGTTTTTTGTTCCACATTATTTCCCAGTCTGCCATTGCTATCGGTTTTTTAAAATTCTCCGCCCACTTTACCATACAGTTTTTTATCAGTTCAGTTTCCGTGAACCATTCTAACAGCTTGTCATATAATTTTGTTATACATTTTGTCTCAGTTTTTAGGATTTTATCCCAAAACTCTTCCTTAATTTGAAAACCTTGCTTTTTATCTTGATTGTATTGTTCTTTTATTTGTAAATAGTTCAGCCACATAATTCTTGGGTAGCTTTGTTTTATTTCTTCATGTGTTTTTAACTCCATTGAGCCCTGTCTTAAAAGTTCTTTATAAGTAGGCCAAGTTGTCCATCCCAATAGCCTTCTCTGTTTAGCTTCCACTGAGGAGGTCCAAAGGGGGGTTTTTGAGTGGAAATAATTTTTGTATCTGTCCCAGATTCTAAGCAAAGAGGAGCGAATGAAATGGTTACCAAAGTTTCTTTCATTTTTCTCTTTTCCATACCATATGTAGGCGTGGCAACCAACTCGAAGATCATGGCCTTCTAATGTAAGGAGATTTTCACTCTTCAGTCTTATCCAGTCTTTTATCCAAATCAAGGCACATGCTTCGTGGTATAACTTAAAGTTTGGTAAACCAAATCCTCCTCTATTCTTTTTGTCTGTCAGCACTTGATATTTTATTCTTGCCTTTTCCCCTTTCCAAATAAATTTCAGAAGATCCTTTGTCCATTCATTAAATTTCTTAACATTCCTTATTATGGGAATATTTTGAAATAAATAGAGCAATTTTGGAAGGACTGACATCTTAATTAATGCAATTCTTCCTAACAAGGAAAGGTTTAGATATTTCCACCTCTCCAAATCTTTTCTGATTTTGCACCAAAGTTTTTCATAATTGTTGAAGAGAAGCTGACCATTTTTTGCTGTAATCCAGATGCCTAAATACTTAATCTTGTTTATGATTTGAAGGCCTGAGATTCTCCTTAGTTCTTCTTGTTTGTCCTTTGCCATGTTCTTCGTTAAAATAACAGTTTTATTTTTATTTAATTTAAATCCAGCCAATTTTCCAAATTCCTCAATTGTATTTAACCAATTTTTGATGTTTTCCCGTGGATTTTCTATTATACCAATTATATCGTCCGCATAAGCTCTGGCCTTATATTCTTGTTTCCCAATTTTGACCCCCTTGATCTTTTCTTCTTCTTTTATCTTTTTCATCAAAATTTCTAACGACATTATAAAAATCAGGGGAGATATGGGACAACCTTGTCTTGAGCCTTTTCCTATTTTGAATTCATCAGATGTTTGTCCGTTTATTTGGATTCTGGCCCTTTGATTCTTGTAAATTTCTTCTATAGCTGTTATAAATTGAAAGCCTAGATCCAATTCTTTCATTAAGGTCTTGAAAAAGTCCCAGTTCAAATTGTCGAAGGCCTTCTCCGCGTCAGCCGCGAGGAAGGCCACTTCCTTTTGGGGGTTGGCTTCATAGTATTCGATCATGTCGACCACTATTCTCATATTATCCTTTATGTTTCTTTTAGGTAAGAAGCCAACCTGCTCTTCCCCTATCCAGTTGCTCAAAAAAATTTTTAGTCTTTGGGCCAGAATATTTGTAAAGATTTTGTAATCCACATTTAAAAGCGAAATTGGCCTATAATTCTGTACATCTAATTGGTCAGACTGTTCTTTATGGATTACTATTATTTCCGCTAAGTTCCAGGTTTCTGGAATTCCCAGATTCTGAAATACTCCGTTCATTACTCTTTTTAACATTGGCATAAGCTCTTTCTTAAATGTTTTGTAATACCCAGCAGTAAAGCCATCTGGGCATTATTCGCATCCATTTTTCTTATTGCGGCCTCAATCTCCTCCTCTGTAATTTCTTTATTCAGATCTTCTCTTTGGGCATCCGTAATTTTGGGGATATTAAATTTGCTTAAATATTCAACTATGTCCTGCATTGGAATACCATCATTCGCATAAAGATTCCCATAATATTCTTTAAATTCTTCCAGTATCCCTTTGTCTGTTGTAACCTCCTCGTTTCCTTTCTTAATTTTTACTATTCGTTGTGCTTGCCTCTTTTTTCGAACTAATTTGGCTAACCATTTACCGGATTTATTTGCGTTTTCAAAATGGTATCGATTTAAAAATTTTAGCTGTTTGGCTTGGTCCTCTGTTTCTATGTTAAATTTTTTCTGGTGTAGCAGTTCAATTTCTTTGAGTATGTCTTTATTTCCTGGCTTACTCTTCAATTCATTTTCTTTTATTTTTATTTTACTTACAATATCTTTTAAATCCTTTTGTCTATGTCTATTATTTCTGGCGTTGTGTTGGATAAGATGACCTCTTAGGACCACCTTAGAGGCATCCCATATCACATTTTGATGCATTCCTGGGGTGTTATTTGTCTCTACATATTTATCAATCAGATCTCTGTATCTGATTATGTCCTCTTCCCTTTTTATTAAATTCTCATTTAGTCTCCATCTTCCTTTTGGTCTTATTTGATTAAGAATGATTTCTATGGGGGCATGATCCAAGAGATCTCTTGTCAAAATATTTATGTCCCAGATTTTTGTAATAATGTTATTAGTTGCCCAACACATATCTATTCTCAACCACGTATGGTGTCTGTGAGAGTAAAATGTATAATCTTTTTTTGTAGGATTTTTATATCTCCATACATCTTTTAAATCCTGTTCCTCCTTAAGATCTAAAAAGATTTTGGGTAGGGTAGTCATTGTCCTCCTTGAGCCTTTTTTCCGAGTTTTTGATTTGTCCAATTGACTATCCAATACCCCGTTGAAGTCTCCCAAGATTATTAAATCATCAAATTCTGTTTCATCCAAATTCTCTTTTAGATTTTCAACAAATTTAGTTTTTGGACCATTTGGGGTATATATATTACAAATTAGTATTTTTTGGTTTCCTGAAGTGATTTTGACAGCTACAAATCTTCCCTCCTGATCTTTAAAGGCTAATTCCGATTGTAAATCTTCTTTAACATATAATGCTACTCCTCTTTTCTTTTTTTCGAAAGAGGAGTAGTGCAATTTGCCCAGTTTCTTATTTGTTAAATGTGCAACATGTTTATGCATAGTGTGGGTTTCCTGTAGCACCATTATGTCATACTTTTCCCTCTTTAATTTATTAAACAGAATTTTTCTTTTATTTGGAGAATTAAGACCATTGACATTTTTTAAAAATAACTTGACAGATGTTCCTTTTGGGCATTTTTTCCAACTGTGACTGAAAGAAAACCGTGCCACCATCTCCCAGTAGACAAACTCTTTCAGGTTCTTAATAACCTGTCTCTCAGCTTGGAACCACTCTGCCAATACTTTATTTTGTTGGATCTGTCCATAGACCTCTATTAGGAAATCAGACCCAGTGTGCTTCATGGCGGTCGTCAACTGAAAGGGCACCGGCTCCTCCCTCTACCATTTCTGAGCCCAGTTCTCGTTGACCCAGTTCTTTGTGAAAAGAGAAAGCCACCTCTCCATGCCATCCTGTTGGTTTACCCCCTGGTCATATTTTCCAAAATTCTGGCTGATAAAAACAGCCAAAAACTTCAGTCATAAAGCTGGTAAATCAAGGCCTCCTTGAGTCATCTTCCTATAAGCCACTGCCTATAGGGTGCCTATAGGGTGCTCCTAGGGTGCCCCTTTTTCTCATCTCCCAGCAAACCTTTCAGGTTGCTTTCCTCAGTGTGAAAAGACAACTTGCTGTTGGCATAAACTCCCTTGACTGGCCACACTGACACAAAGAGTTCAACTCCTCTGACATTATTCCTCCTAAGTCATAAAAATTGGAAGCCAGACTATTTTGGAAACATTCAAACCCCATCTCACTTTCCGAGAAAAGTATTGTAATAACTCTCAAAGCATTGCACTCATCTTCTGTGTTCAAGAAAGGCATTTATGAGATATGGAGAGAGAGATGCGACATTTTCAAAGAGGGTTCAGGAAAGGAGAATGCTCTAGGGATTGTATTGCAAATATACTTTTTTTAAGGATCTTTAAGCATGCAAGCCTTGAAAAGAAGGGCCCAACAAGGGGCAGGGTTGGCTTAGAGCATCCAGTTTAGGACAGAGCTGGGAAAGCTTCTGGATCATCAACGTCAGGAGCAGAAGCACTGGACTGGCTAGGTGTGTGGATGACATCAAACTCCTTAACCAACTTATCAGTTCTGCTTCCACGGTTAGCCCTTCCCCCATGCCCACGGTCTCCTCTTCCACCTCGACCCCCATGCCCAGGACGGCCAAGATCCCCAAAATTGATCTCCAGCTGGGATGTGATGTCATTTGCCGGCTTACGGAAATGATGATCCATTACAGAATCTTCAGCATGAGTCTCATTGGATTCCATCTGACTCCCTTGCATCTCTGTCATCCCCTTTGTCTCCGCACTCTTTGACTTATGGAGAACAAAACCTTTTTTCCATTGTCCATCAGCACCTTCATTTGGTTTGCGGATGTTGAATTCAACTTTTGCGCAATCCTTGTTTTGAATAGCTTTCCATTCATCCAGAGTAATTTCTTTTGGCCCTACCTCCTTCACTTCTTCTACTTCGTTCTCTTTATTCTCTGAGTCAGCAGGTGGATGTTCCTCTCCCGCTGGGGTTTCCTCTGTTGCGTTAGATTGATCCAAGTCAGTTAGCTCATCTTTGACCTTTCCCCAGTTATGTGATCCACTTCCACCGCGCTTATCCTCATGCTTCAGACCAGATCTGTCACTTCCACTATGTCTATCAAATTCACGTTTGCCTCGGGAGTCAAAGCCATCTCCTCTAACCATTCCACGCCCTCGGCGACCGCAGCCGCCCCTTCCACCTGGGCCACCACGGCCACGCATAGGACGATCAATAATTGGCTTATCAACAGAAAATTCTCCTCCTTCACCCTTTTCTTCAGCAGGTTTGTCAAATCGTCGCTCACGAGGAGGCTGCCTCTCCTGCCTGCAAACATACGTTGGATTATGGAATAGTAAAGGTAAAGGTTTCCCCTCAACATTAAGTCTAGTCATGTCCAACTCTGGGGGTGAGGCTCATCTCCATTTCTAAGCCAGAGAACTGGCATTGTCTGTAGACACTTCCTAGGTCAAGCACCCAGCATGACTGCATGAAGCGCTGTTACCCTACCGTCAAAACAGTACCTATTTATTTATTTTTTTGGAATAAGATTCAGTTTATGGTATTGGGTTACACATATTAAAGTGTCTCAGACAAAACATTTTAAAAGTCAAACCTCTCTTAAAAGTCAAGCCAAGGATTTTCTGGACCAAGTGGTACCTATTGATCTACTCACATTTGCATGTTTTCGAACTGCTAGGTTGGCAGAAGCTGGGGCTCACAGCAGGAGCTCACCTCGTCCTGCAGATTCAAACTGCCGACCTTTTGGTCAGCAAATTCTGCAGCTTAGCTGTTTAACCCACTGTGCCACTGCAACATCGAAAAATTTCAGAAGGAAAATAGCATGTACTTTTTAGACTACAAATGTGTAAATAGTACAAAATTATACCACAACATCCGATGGTCATGATGCATCATTTATACTCCAGATAAGTATAAAACATAGAAACACAATGGGTTCTTGTCTATAAGGAAGGAGGAGACACAACTGTATGATTTCACATTCTTTACTATATATGTGTCATATAATATAAATCAAAGAGGAGAGACAAAGTCAATAGGCAAAGAAACATTACAGCTTGGGGAATGGAGTACTGTGCAAAAGAGCATTGCCTAACTGGTCAGCCAGAGTCCCAAAAAGAAACATAATGGCCCCATGTTTTGCCTCGGTTTCCACTCGTTTACCCTCCGATCTGTGAGAACCCCCCTGGGGAAGGCCAAGGATTTTCTGGACCAGACATTAGAGATTTGGTTGTTTCCCAAATTTGTGGGAAATGCTCCAGATTCCAGTCTCATCAAGGTGTTCGCAACAACACTCCCAGTTCCGACCTCACAGAGCGTGATAATCGGGATTTCCTCGCCAACAGCTGAAAAGGATCATGAAATTATCCTTCTGTTTTTTTTTGATAGAAGGTTTGCCGAGGTTACTGTTGTGAATGTCAAGAGTAGGAGGGGGAGAAAAGGGGAATTCAAGAAGGAGATTCCCGACCCCATCCAATGAGGCTGGACTAGTTGGCCTTTGGGACCCCCCCTTCCAACTCTAAGAATGGGTCATTTGGCTCTGTCACCAGAACAATTGGCTGCAGGAGTCCTCAGCTCGATTTGGCTTTGAAGAGGGGCACTGTTAAAGCAAATATTTTTGGACAGTAATGAGCTTTTCAATGACCCCATCTGTTCCTGCTTCTCTTGGGCCTCCTCCAGCCTTTGCTTTCCAGAACAATTTGTAAAGGCTCCGTTAGAGCCAGGGAAAACCTAGACGCAAGACTCTGAAGCCCTTGGTAGTGTTGGTGCGGCCAAATTTCCATCTTGTAAAAAGCAAAAGCCCTCTCAATAATTAAGTTATGCTCTCTCCGTTCTTGGACACTTTTGTCCTTTGCAAGTTGAAAAACAGTTCTTATTTACTGTTAGTCTTTTAAGGAGGGGAAACAGGCCAAGGTTGGGAGGTGGGTGATCTACTTAACCCAAAAAATAGATCCCATATTGGGTTACTGTAAGTTTTTTGGGCAGTATGGCCATGTTCCAGTAGCCTTCTTTCCTGACTTTTTGCCTACATCTGTGGCAAGCATCCTCAAAGGTTTGTTCAGAGGTCTGTTGTAAATTTATTAATGCTGCAACAAATGGTCGTATGCATTTACACCAAAAGAATCAAGATCTAACAAGCATCTATACAAAACACTGTAAAATCCAACAGTTAAAAGCAAATAGATGCAAGCAAGATCAAACAGAAAGTGCAAAATGTACATTGAAAAGTGCAGTGACGCAAGTGCAACATGTGCTAGGAACTGCATGTTAACAGATAAGAAACCAGTACAAAAGTTCATTCATATTAAAGATTAGATTATATCTATTACGGGCCAGGCTGTAGACCTGTCAGTAAACCAACAGTCATTATAAATGCTCCCTTCTCAGGAGAAGTCATATCTACATGACCCCTTAATACATGTAGTGGTGACACCCAACAATAAAATTATTTTTTATTGTTGCTACTTCATAACTGTAATTTTGCTACCATTATGAATCATAATGTAAATATCTGATATGCAGGATATATTTTCATTCACTGGGCCAAGTTTAGCACAAATATCCGATACGTCCAAATTTGAATACTAGTGGGGTTTGGGAGGGGGAATTGATGTTGTCGTTTGGAAGTTGCAGTTCCTGGGATTTATAGTTAACCTACAATCAAAGAGCATTCTGAACTTCACCAACGATAGAATTGAACCAAACTTGGCACACAGAACTCCCATGACCAACAGAAAATACTGGAAGGGTTTGGTGGGCATTGACCTTGAGTTTTGGAGTTGTAGTTCACCTACATCCAGAGAGCACTGGGATAGATCTGGACCAAACTTGGTACAAATGCCCAAATATGCCTAAATGTGAACACTTGTGGATGAAGATGTATTTTCCAGAAACTCAGAACAATAATTTAGCTGGCTCAAATGCTTAGGAAAGCTATAGCCAGCGATTATACACACATTAATCATTTAATCCACTCATTTTTCCTCCTGGTTCATTGTTTCCTGCCTGGACTGCCTCCGTCCTTCCCATTGGCCAGCAGGCGGAAGCGGCATTATCTCCCTGATTGGCTGAGGCGTGGTTGAGCCGGCCACACCTCCCAGTCAGCTGATGACTCCAACCAATCAGCGTGTCGGCTTTGGCAAATGATTGCAGTTTGACATCCGCTCCAGCTGGAATGAAATAAACAACTCAGTGGCATTTTCTTCAACTTTGGTGAGATTTATTTGGGAAAATTTAGTTTCTTTCTTGCCAGGGCAAACAGATCCTCATTGGTGGGTCTGACCAGCCTCTGTCTCCAAGGCAAGGCCCTCCAAATTCTTGCTCGATATCAGCTTCTCACACAGAACCCTCATGCCTTGAAGGGACTCACTGGTGCGAGCCTCCCTCCAACCTCACATGCTCTCCCTCAGCTGCACATGTGCACCAACCACACTGCCATGCGCCAAGCATGCCTGCTCTCCCCTCTCCATTTGGATTCCCATAAACAGACCCCCACCTTGGCTGAGAGGCTTGCCAATCACAGCAGAGGAGAGCTTTTGATGGGAAGATTTGTCAGGATAATTGCAGTTATTTTATGTATGTTTTTCAATGTGTTAGTATTGTATTTCAAGATGGATTCAGTCATGTTCATTCTTGTTCATATGTGCAGTAGATTATTTTTGTTATAGGCCAGAGTAAAGTCCTTCCCAGATAACAGCTCTGGGAAGAATAGGGAGTCAACCGGCTAGGACATAGATACGTCAGAAGGGCAGGATGTTTTTCTTTGTCTGTGTGTTTAGTCCTGTACTATGTAGTCGCCATCTTTCATTATCAACATGTAGTCGCCTGTAGATAGATGCTTCTAGTAAAGTTATTTTGGAACCGAAGAAGAATGCTGTGTGTTAAATGAGTCTGTGTGTTTTGGAAACCTCACGTTCGCTGTGCCAGACCGGAGGGTCTCACTCTGACAAGATTCGCCGTCTGTTTCCAAAAAGGAAGAGAAGGACTGGTGGAGAGATCTTCAGCCTTCTCTGCCAAAGGGATTCTTAAGACCATCAGAAATATATGTTTTCTGATGGTCTTTGTTGACCCCTCTAAAAACCCCTCACAACCTCCCCCCACAGGTCCCAACCCCCAAGTTGAGAAATGTTGATCAACATGGTTTCAAGTAATACCCCTATTGGAGGTTAGTTGCTTTCTCAGCCTTGTTGCCATGGTGATGAATTTTGCCACTATGAGAGTCACCTGGTGGCAGTTGTCCTCTAAAAGATATCTAACAATCCTATGTGGGGGATGGCTGGTCACGCAGGACAGGATTGGATATAAAAGTTGGCTACGTTGCACTGTGTAGAAGCAGCACTGTAATAAAATGTGTTCTATTGTTTCCATTTTGTTTCCTCCACAGGGGCCTAGTCTTTGGGAGTAAGGAATTCCAGACAGTCTGTCTCTTAGTAGTTCTGAGGGAAATACGTTTAATCTCACCTTTGTAAAGAGTCTGCAATATTTAGTCACTGTTAAGGTTTTTTAGGTATTCACATGTCTTAAATGGCTCCCTGTATGGTAAATTTAGGATTCTGGGGAAGCATGATGAATTTGAGTGGGCTCTAAGCTCTCCCCGGGCAATGTCCCACAACCTTTGCTTCAGGGATTCTTGCGCCATTTTGAGTCCCAAAAGGAGCAGAAGGGGTGTGGATATTCCAGTTGAGGCTGCTTTTTATTCGGTCCTCAACACCCAAAGGGGTTTGGAGGCTTCATAAGGGAGATGATGTAGTAAACCTGTTCCCAGTTTGAATACCATTGTTTTTAACCATAGGTTCATTTTCAAAGTCCACCAGGCCCTAGTACTCAGTGGGCATTCACCTGTTTCTAGAAGCAGGACCACATTAGGTATGCAAGAAGGCACATTTAGAAGATCGCTTATAAATCTTGCTTGCACTCTATCTAGATCAGTGGGTCCCAACCTTTTTTTGATCAGGGACCACTTTACCAAGGACTACTTGACCAGGGACCACTTTGACCAGGGACCACTCTCCAACATTAGGACCAAAAGGGTTACAAATCAGTTTTTGTCAACTATAGATACGGTTTGGGGTGCTGATTCAGAAATTTTCATTAGATAGACCACATCAGCTCTAGTTTCTGATACAGATCATATGGCAGGCAGTGCGAACGGAGTGGGAATAAAATAAATAAATAAAGAGAAAGGAGGCTTGCGGACAGCAACCCAGAGATTATGGCTATGAAAGTCTTTGACAACAGATTCTATGTTTCTGTCCCATGCTGGCCCTATTTCTCTTTTTAGTGATGCCAATGTTTCGGCCAGGCTTTAGCACAGCAGGTTAACCGCCAGCTGCAAAATAAATCTTGCCAATCGAAATGTTGACAGTTCAAGCCTGGGTCGGGGTGAGCTCCTGGCTGTCAGCCCAGCTTCTGACCACCTAGCAGATCGAAATCAGCAATGTGAGTAGATAAATAGATACCACTTTTTTGAAAAGCGGAGAGGTAATAAAAAGGCGCCCATAAGGACATAACAAAGATAAGGAGGTTGTATATGGAAAACAAAGCATGGAAGATGGAGCAATAGCACCCCCTTCCCATGGCCAGAGTTGAGCACAGCCTCCAGATGTCAGAGATGGAAAAATATGGGAAAAGCCTATACTCCGTTTATGTATTGTCTGTCCAGGTCAATTGTATAATGGCATTGAATGTTTGCCATATATTTGTTCTGTAATCTGCTCTGAGTCCCCTCAGGGAGATAGAGCGGAATATAAATAAAGTATATTATTATTAATTAAACTTCTTCCCACATATTTCCTTCTTCTTTGGAATTCCTTCAATGTTAAGATCAGGTCTGTTTAACACTGTTTTATTAGGAGATCCCTACTTCGAAACACATTTAGGGGCTTAACCAAACCACCCTTATGTTCCCTTTCAACTCTTAAAATCCCATTATATTAAACTAAACTGTTTACATTCCGTATTTTTCCCCCAGCAATGCCTTGTTGAGCTCACACAGGTGGGAAAGATCAAAGGTTCGATGTTTTTAATGTCTTGCGGGCAACTCGAAAAGTGCAAACATTTTGACCTGGTAACTGATATTTTGGTAGAAATTCTACCTGCCAACAAAGCCGAGACCAATCAGGTGGGCATAATGGACAGGAAGACACAAATATTGCAGGGAGAATAACCACCCGTGTCTCTTTGATGTGCTTATCTCCCTGCCTTTTGGAGCATTTGACTATTGCAGTGACCCCAGACACTGAAGAATGAAGACATCTGGCCACAAGATTTCTGCGGTGAGCCAACAAAGGTACTATAAATTACAGAGGGAAAAATGCAGCTTTTCCATTGTGGAGCCTTTTATAGATTCGTTCCAGCCCCAGCTGGAAACGGGTTTGATTTTGTTTTCTTTCAAGCAATATATGAAAGAGAGAGAGATACCATAAACCAGGATAGCAAACGTTAAAATTCCTGAATACTGTATTAAACTTTTTAAATTGTTTGCAAGTCTAGAGGTGGAAATGAATGGATAATCCTCAATATCCACCCCACTAACTGGTTTTTGAGTCAGTAGGGCATTTTTAAATTACTCCATTCCCATCCAAGCTGCTGACATGACTTCCTGGGAAACTTCATGGACGTAGTTGTAGAGAGTTGGCCTAGATTTGGATCTGTTCTGAAGCTATGATTCTACCCTTTTACTTGGTGGTCAATTCCTGGAGAGACTTGGGATGCTGACCTCTTGGTTGAAGTTCTTAATTTGGCCCCAGGTCAATTTCAAGTTCACTTTATTATGGTCAGGGACCAGTTCAAGAGGAGGGACATAGTCCCATACATGAATATCAGAGTTAAGGGTTAAGAGATTTAAAACTCTGAAATAAGCGTATTGAAATAGAGCAATTTAGAATGGTCACGGATAGTGAGATCCGAGCCACAGATAGTGAAACATGAAGCACAGATACTGAGTCCTGATAAGTGGTTGCCAGTACTGCCGACAGGCCACCTTGTAGGTCTGTGCGTCTGGCAAGATGAAGATGCTACCCAATATTTCCCAATGAAGAAGTCTCACCAAGTTGAGAAAGAAGACAGCAAGGTAGTTTATTCAATCAGCTAAAGAGATGCCAGCTCACCAGGCCCGTAGCCAGGATTTTGTTTCGGGGGGGGGGGGGGGGGGGGGCTGAGTCTGAGTGAAAGAGGGTCTAGCCTAGCAAACCTTTTGTATCGTTACCCCAATACCCCCATGCATATGGGATATATTGAGTATGGTGATCAGATCATGATATGAATAAACATAACAGTTTAAATAATGTACCAGTAAGGCCTTTTCATGGACCACCATGAGAATTTCGGGGGGGGGGCTGAAGCTCCCCAGGCCCCACCCCCCACCCCACCCCCGGCTACATGCCTGCAGCTCACGGTAATCTGCCAAAGGAAGCTGAGATCCCATCTGCAAGTCAAACATGCAGTTTTATACATTCAAATCCTTTGTCTTTCCCGATCCCGCCCCACCTGGAGCTGGCTCCTGTGTTGATTGGCGAAGCCACATGACACAACCAGTTAGGAGTGACATCCTCTGTGAGGTGGGACTGCAGCACCCGCCCGCCAACCAAGGAACATTCCCTACTTCCAATGCAGATTCCTGCTCTCCAATGGCAGACAGCAGGCAGGATGGTCCAGGAGAGAAAGGAATGCAAAATGTTCTGAATGGGTTACCTTTGTCCCAGCAGAAGGACAAAACAAAGAGAGGTCATCAGGTCCCATACTGATCATTTTGTAGTCTTGCTGATTATCTTTATGAGTCCCCGTTCATGCAGGTCTAGTGACTGCACTAGTGTCCATTGGGTTCCAACTCAGTATATTGTTCAGGGATTATGGGATTTGATGATCTATTCCTGAGAAAGAGAAGACAGTATTGTGGAGAGCAGGGCAAGTCATCCCAACACCAGGGAAGGAAATGCCAGATGATCAATGTCTTTTCATATGTGCATGTGGCTGAACAAAGAACAGGTGGTCTGACTCCGTGGCCTGTTGTCTCTTGCACAGCCGGTAGTATGGGCCACAGATGATGGGTGATTGAGTCCTTTGTGATTGAGATGATGCCCAGGGAAACTGCTGGAGGGAGTTCCTGCTTCTTGAGGTGCTGGCGAAAGGTCACAAAGGTCTTGCTGGGTGTCTTTGAGGTCGAATCCGGAACTCCTTGCCTTCAAGCTGATCTGACTTGCAGCAGGGAGTTCCTCGGTTCTCCATAGACCCGCTTGGGCCAACCTACATGAACGTGGCCACAGCAGCAGCTGCAACTCAGAAGCCTTCTTATTACTTTGCTTTCTTCCCCCTCCTAACATTGTAACTAATCCCCCAATAAAAAGTATCAATTAATTGTAACCCTTTTCCTCTCCATATTGTTACTTTGTGTCCCTCTCTACATAAACCTTTCTTCTCCCGGGCTGCAGATGGCAGCCCAGGATGCGATTTTTGCCAGCCACTTTTGCATATTTCAACCTTTCAGGATGATGCCAGGTCGGCTTGAGGAATCTCCGGATTATTGCCGGCCATCAGGACACACATTGAGTCATTTTAATCCACTCATCTGTACTCTCGGTTCATTGTTTTTCCTATGGACCGCCTCCTCCGCTCTCATTGGTCAAGAACCCGAAGTGACACTGGCTCCCTGATTGGCTAAGGCGCTCCTAAGCCGGCTGCACCTCCCCTCCAGCTGATGATGACAGCCAATCAGAAGGAAGCCGGCAAGGGGGCTGGGGGCAGGAAATTTGAACGTTGACAGCTCTGTTTCTCTATAAAATGTACTGCAATGTATTGAATGTATGTCTCTCCTGATGAATTATTGCGGTTTGACATCCGTACCAGCTGGACGCAATAAATACAATTCAGTGGCGTTTCTTCAACTTTGGTGAGATTTATTTGGAAAAAAACCCAGGGAAAATTCTTTTGGGTCTCTCCTTTCACTTGCCAGAGTACCAGGCTCTCGTTGGTGGGTCTGTGGGCTCCCCTCTCCTAGGCAGGAGCCTCCAAATTCAAGCTCGATATCATCTTCATTCTCCGGAGCCCCCGGTGGCGCAGTGGGTTAAACCTCTGTGCCGGCAGGACTGAAGACCAACAGGTCGCAGGTTCGAATCTGGGGAGAGGCGGATGAGCTCCCTCTATCAGCTCCAGCTCCTCATGCGGGGACATGAGAGAAGCCTCCCACAAGGATGATAAAAACATCAAATCATCCAGGCGTCCCCTGGGCAATGTCCTTGCAGACGGCCAATTCTCTCATACCAGGAGCGACTTGCAGTCACTCCTAACACGACAAAATAAAATCTTCATTCTCCAAAGTTTTATATTAAGACATAAAATATAACATATTAAATATACACACACATGAGGTTCCACTGATACCGAGGGGTACCCAGCGAATGGAGGCCTGGGTATCCACGGGGACGATTGAGGTCTCAAGGTTCATTGTTGAGAAAGGAGGACACATTTGGGGGTGAAATAAGGGAGGGAGGGAGGGAGGGAGGAAATAGCTGAGGATTATGGTTTACATACATAGTTGCATATGTCTTAGTAGAATCCAGTCACAGCAGCAAGGAAACAGCAAAGGTGAGTCAAAGATAGAGAGGCAGGTATTGGCAGAAAGGATACATTATAGATTTGGGA